TCATTCCGAGATGCATATGGTCTTTCAGTAAACCCATTTGAAGCCGCTAAGTGCTAAGCATATTGTGTAGGAAGAAGAATAAGATACAAAGCAAGATAAAAAATTATCAAAAGAAGTGAGATCTTTACAGTTTATGGTTTGAAAAAAATAAGGCTTACCTTTTAAGCTGACGGATAGATTTCACAGCACAAAACCTACGAGAAATCAACAACACATATTACGGAACGACCAAAACAATTTGTAGAGCATGGTTGCATCAACAAAATAAAACTAATGAAATGAAGTACACAAATTAAATGAACGGCCAAAAAATATGGAATCGTAACATTCAAGATTAGCACATTAATCTGCAGAAATTTATGTGGAACAAAAAGGAAGAAGTCGATTGCAAAGGTTTGTTTTGCAAAAGCCACTTTTATATAAGAGATATTTAGAGGAACTAGTTAATGAACAGTAACTAAGGGCCCGTTCTCTTCGCCATTTTCAACTCGTTTTGTGTTTTTGATTTTTCAAAACAGTGAAAAGCGTTCTCTATCCTATTTTCGAAAACGGGTTGAAAATTTACAAAGAAAACACAAAACGACAATTTTGTCGTTTTGGGCGTTTTCAGTTATAACTTGACAAAAATTTCTAAAACACGTTTTCGTTGTTTTCAACCACAGCAAACCATCACCGCACCCGACCACCACTGTACCACCGCACCGTCGGATCCCACCACCGTGACCCAACCACCACCACCACCACCGAAATCGCCACCAGAAACCCCCACCGCTATAGCCAAAATGGAGACCCAACCACCGAAAATCTCGACTAGAAAGACCACCACCGTGTAGCCAAAATGAAGACCCAACTACCTCAAAATCACCACCAGAATCGCGACCCAACCACTGCCGATTCGCGACTAGAAAGACCACCACCGCCCAGCAGAAATGGCGACCCAACCACAGCAAAATTGCCTCCAGAATCGCAACCCAACCATCGCCAATTCGCGACCAGAAAGACCACCACTACCCAGCAAAAATGGCGACCCAACCACCGCAAAATCGCCACCAGAATCGCGACCCAATCATAGCCAAAATTGATTTGCCATTACCCCCACCTACCCAGCAAAAATGGTGACCCAACCACCGCAAAATCGCCACCAGAATTGTGACCCAACTATGGCCAGAATCGATTTGCCATTACCCCCACCGCCCCAGCCAAAAGTCGCAACCCAACTACCACAACCACAGCATCACGACCCAACCATCGTATGCAACCACAACACCCAAACCAACAACCATCAATGAAGAAGGAGGGGAAGGAGAAGAAGAGGGCGGGGGAGAGGAGGAGGATGAAGAGGAGAAAAAGAAAGAGGCACGAGAAAGAGAGAGGCTGAGAAAGGGGAGAGAACACGTTTTCCATTTCCTAATTTTTGAAAACAATTTTTCAAAATGGTAAAAAGAATGCATTTTCAAAAATCTCAAAAATTGACACTCAAAACACAAAATACAAAATGAATTCAAAACACAAAACTCAAACACAAAGAGAATAGCCTCTAAGGGATTGCAGTGTGGAAACGAGGACTGTAAAAAACAAAAAAAAAAATTGNCTCTTCGCCATTTTCAACTCGTTTTGTGTTTTTGATTTTTCAAAACAGTGAAAAGCGTTCTCTATCCTATTTTCGAAAACGGGTTGAAAATTTACAAAGAAAACACAAAACGACAATTTTGTCGTTTTGGGCGTTTTCAGTTATAACTTGACAAAAATTTCTAAAACACGTTTTCGTTGTTTTCAACCACAGCAAACCATCACCGCACCCGACCACCACTGTACCACCGCACCGTCGGATCCCACCACCGTGACCCAACCACCACCACCACCACCGAAATCGCCACCAGAAACCCCCACCGCTATAGCCAAAATGGAGACCCAACCACCGAAAATCTCGACTAGAAAGACCACCACCGTGTAGCCAAAATGAAGACCCAACTACCTCAAAATCACCACCAGAATCGCGACCCAACCACTGCCGATTCGCGACTAGAAAGACCACCACCGCCCAGCAGAAATGGCGACCCAACCACAGCAAAATTGCCTCCAGAATCGCAACCCAACCATCGCCAATTCGCGACCAGAAAGACCACCACTACCCAGCAAAAATGGCGACCCAACCACCGCAAAATCGCCACCAGAATCGCGACCCAATCATAGCCAAAATTGATTTGCCATTACCCCCACCTACCCAGCAAAAATGGTGACCCAACCACCGCAAAATCGCCACCAGAATTGTGACCCAACTATGGCCAGAATCGATTTGCCATTACCCCCACCGCCCCAGCCAAAAGTCGCAACCCAACTACCACAACCACAGCATCACGACCCAACCATCGTATGCAACCACAACACCCAAACCAACAACCATCAATGAAGAAGGAGGGGAAGGAGAAGAAGAGGGCGGGGGAGAGGAGGAGGATGAAGAGGAGAAAAAGAAAGAGGCACGAGAAAGAGAGAGGCTGAGAAAGGGGAGAGAACACGTTTTCCATTTCCTAATTTTTGAAAACAATTTTTCAAAATGGTAAAAAGAATGCATTTTCAAAAATCTCAAAAATTGACACTCAAAACACAAAATACAAAATGAATTCAAAACACAAAACTCAAACACAAAGAGAATAGCCTCTAAGGGATTGCAGTGTGGAAACGAGGACTGTAAAAAACAAAAAAAAAAATTGTCTGCACTGTAATTAGTGTAATGATGATAAATAAGGCTATCATTTTCCTTCGTGAAGTCAATAAATACGGCTTGCCTTTTTTTTTTTTTTGGTCCACATATGAAACAATGATACGTGAGGAGAAATTACAAATAAATAGTAATCCTCAAAGTTTCTCTTTTAAGAGAGAGTAGATAATGTCTATGCTGTAACCCCTTAATTTCTTAGCCTAATATCATATATAATATTTTGACCCTAAATTTAGGAGGAAGCCATCGGTAATAAACAAGAAAGGAATGATTACCTTGGACTTCAATCAGCCCATCGGTTCTCATTAGAGATTCTTCTTTTGTGTACCCTTTCTTTATTTTTCTTCTTTTGAAAAAATTGTGCATCCTTCCTTTCCTACATGTAATTGGAATTTTCTTAAATTTTTCAATAAAATATTTGTATAATTAAATATCTAATGTGTAATAAAAGTTAATTTCTTATAGTTTCAGCGTTCTTGTTATCATAGACAAACAACAAAATGAAATCAACCACCTATGGATCCACCATCCGCGATAACCTTATAAAAATTTGATTAGTTAAAATATGAAAAAGAGAGAGAAAAGAAGTTAACATTTTAGTTAGGGTAATTAGTACATAACGTTCCCATCTTTTACTGTCGTAATCACATTTCATTTTTAAACATTTTCACCCTTATTTCAACATTTCATTGCGCCAAAGGTCTTTATCATCCATTTTCTCAATTAAAAATTGTGAAATAACGAATATATCATTCTCTTTAAATAAAAAAAAAAAAAAGAAAAAAGAAAAAAATAATTGCAACAATAATCTCAATTTTTTTGAAAAAGCGCAGATGAGTCCCCAAATAATAAATTACTAAAAATGTAATTAGAACATAATGTCTATCTTTCACTATTATAGCAGAAAATGTCTATATCATTTTTTTTTTTAACATTTTCAACCTTAATTACACATTTGATTGTTCAAACCATAATTTATATTCATTTTCATCTAATTTCTTAATAAATAGCTGTGAAATGATGAATATATCATCTTCTTTAAGAAAATTAAAGATTTTTTTTTATTTCTAATTTTTAATAATTTATTTGGGACTCCCTCGCACTTTTAATTTTTATAAATTTTTAAGTAAATTTAATTGGGACTCGTTTGCACTTTTTTTTTTAAAAAAAAATACTAATTTCTAATTTTCTAATAATGGGTTTGTTTGCATTTAAAAAAAAAAAATAATTTCTAATTTTTTTTAATAATTTAATTGGGACTCATATGCACTTTTTTTTTAAAAAAAAATTGGGATTGTGGTTGCAATTCATTCTTTATTTTTTTAAATTAAATAGGAGAGTATATTCGTCATTTCACAACTTTTTATTGAGAAATTGAATGAAAATAGATAGAAATGATAATATACGCAATTAAATGTGTAATAAAGAGTGAAAATGTCAAAAAAAGAAAGTGTGAACATTTTGTGTTAATTACCATTTTAATAATTTATTTAAAACTCATTTTAAAAAAAAATTGGGACTATTGTTGAAATTAATTTTTTTTCTTTTTTTTTTTAAAGAGAAATGTATATTCATCATTTCATAATTGTTAATTGAGAAAATGAATGAATACAACTTTTGGCATAATGAAAGGTAGAAATAATGACGAAAATGTCGAAAAATGAAAAGTAATGACGTTTTTCCACAATAATAGTGAAAGATAAAGACGTTATATACTAAATTACCCTTTTAGTTATTTTATTGTACAATATGATGTATAATGAAATTCCAAACATGCCCGATGACACATTTCATTTGCTGCTGTCTCATTTAGATCAGTTGTGTTCATTGCCCGTGTGGGCATAACGAGATGAATAAAATAACATAAACCGTTAGTCCTGAACAAAATTTCCCAATCACAATTGGATGAAAAATATTACATAAATTCCAAAAATACATAAATGACGTTCTAGTCTCAATTCTTTCGACAGTTGGATCGATATCAAGATGCATAAAATCCTTAAATGCATCTAAAGCTAATACAACGTAACATGTTAGACATATATGGTGAGGTAGAAACCAAACCTCAATAAAAAAATCATAAGCCAACCCCCAATGACGAAAAAAGAAGGAATAATAAAAGCTCCACATGATGGGAACAAGGACAATGCTAAAGATACATCTCTTTGAAATATTACTATTGCTGGAACAAAATGGTGGAAAAAGAAAAATCTGAAGGCTGGCAGGTAATCTTCTATAAGAACAGTCATGCTACAATAGTCCGATATAGAATTTGTATCAACTAATCAAGAATTGCCTTGATCTTCGTCTTTTGGTCCTCTGTTAGTGAAGTTGGGAAAAGAACCTCAAACTTGACGTATAAATCGCCCTTCTTATTGCTAAAATGTAATGGCATTCCTTCTCCTTTAAACTTTCTCACTTCCTTAGGCTTCGTAATACCCTGGGGAAAAAAATTTCCACGTATTAGTCATTTCTCAAAAGTGAAGCCCAGTGCCTGACCTCGGAATTTAGTTAAGAGCATCTTAGGCTAAGCTCATACAATTTACTCAGAAGAAAGTATAATCACAAGTTTTAAAATAAATTAGTTTCTAATCCTCAGATTTGGAAATAAGTAACGCTTTTTTGCTTAAAAGTGAGAAAAGGTAAATTCTAAAAAGGTTTGGAAACTAAAATTTACTTAAAAGTAACTTTGACACAAGCTTAAGCTTAGCCAGACATAGGTATGCCGTACAAAATATGGTATGCTCACCTTCAAGCTTATATCCACTAAATGATCGTCGAGGTGTTTGATAGTCTTCTCAAAACCAACAAGAGCTTGCACCTGAATGAAGTGGAAGTTTACAGGATAAACTATTTCAGTTAAAACCAAACAGATAACTGTATAATGAGTACTCCAAAGTTTCATTATTACTACAATGAACTGACGAAACACATGCAAAGATAGAATGAAAAACACGATAATGTTCTTTTCCACTAGAGAATACAGTATAACAAGCAATACTTGGTTTTCAGAAAAACTATGCCAAAGTGACGCCAAAGAAATTTTGCAGGAAAAATATCAACCTTTCAAACCGTGGCAAAAATATTTCCTTTAAATGCTTCCTTTACCCATTTGTTTAGAGGCATATCGACACAATGTAAAATTAGAATTATGAAAACTTGATGACATCAATATTACCAAAGTAATAGTAACTGTTGTGTGCAGGTCATTTCCTTCCCTCCTGAAGCCATCATGAGGTGCAGTATGAATGCGAAACTGTCCAAACACAAGTTATAATCATCACGAATTATATTAATGAGGCTTATCACCACCTTACAGACCAAGGATAAAGATCAAACCTTCAGGTCTCCAGCTTCACCGTCTATAATGGGCTCCCCATCTTCGTAAAAGACAACTTCCTATGGAAACAGGCAGCCAGCGCTTTTCAGAAAATCCTTAAAACTAATGAAATTCAACCATAAAAGCTAGTAGAAATATTTTGGTGACAGCTTTATTTGAAGCATAAAATCCGTTATCCTAAAAGACCCAAGGAATGTAACATTTAGATGTAAAATTTATGCCACCACAAAACATATTAATTAGACAAATTCTGCACTACAACATTTCTGATTACTCCCTCAACCGCTAATGCCCCATTCAAACACAGGAAATTCTATATGCTAAAAGCACATTAGCACAAACACCAGTTTCGGGAAACAGATTGCCCTTCCTAAAAAATCGACATGTCCTGTTTCCCAACAAGATGGGGGCATTCCTGCAAGTTTCTCTTTTGGGAATCCCATAACCACAAGAAGCAAGAAGAAAAATGGTACGATGTGCACAAACGACGAGCAAGAAGACATATAAGGATGGAAATGGGGATACGGTGATATCTATAACACTAAGAAAGTGAATGTTATGTTTACAGAGGGTAGTTCACATTATGATTTAAAAACCCCACTTGAAACCTGCCTCAGAATGTGGCGTGAGAAAAAGGCCTCAAGGAGCTAATTGTGAGGTAATTTTTTGAGGCGTAATCCTCACAACACCCCTTCTTCAAGGCTTGCGACCCACAAAACGAGAAAACTCTTATTTACCCATTTTGAGAATAACCTACTGCCCTTGAAAACTGATAGGACTCCAATTAATGAAAATGATAAATGACAAATGGTATTGAATTAAAGATGGAATTACACTGAAAATGAAAGAACATTTCTAAGCTTTCGAGAGGCTTAGATCTCTCCTACTTGGCTACTCAATATTTGCCTGCTTATCCCCTAACTTCTACCCTTATTTATAGGTCTATTTTCTAACAGAATTCAATTTTCCCTCCCCCCCACTTGCAGGTAAATTCTTCTATTCCCTTCTAGAATGAGTGAGGTGGATGGGAGCCTATCAATACCCCGGGTTTCCAAAATCACCTTGTCCTCAAGGTGAAGATCAGAGCATTTTTACTT